CCTAAAATTACTAGTTTCATCTGGGGTCCCGCAACGGCAGGATCGCCATGTTTGCTGCCCTGGGGCAGATCGCAGCCGGCCTCTACACGGGCAAATCCGCCATCGAGCAATTCGGACTTTGAAGCCAGCTGAATGGGCTTGGTGACGTGATGCGCGCCAGGATGCCACGAATTGTTTGAGCTATCCGTTAGATTTGTACAGATATGTTCATCTTCCTGAGCTTCAGGCCCCAAGAGCTTGTCGCTCAGTAGCCGACTTGGCTGGCCAGTTATGGCATCATCATCATCATTTTCGTCGTTGCAGCGCGCCGCCGGGACAGCATCCAAAGATTCGCGAAACCAGCGCTCCACAGTGCACAAAATGTGGTAGCAAGGCATAGACACTGAAGATCACTGAAGGAAACCTAGAGTGTTGATATGTGCATCTTACCTGTTCTCACAGCCAGGTCTTTGACGAACTCCAGGCATCGCGAACAGGCAGGGAGTTGCATGGACATGTTAGCACGTCCGAACTCCACACCATGTTGTCAGAAATGGTTCTGGCTGAACGCCTGGAGGTCGGGACGAGTAAGATTCTTCTTTCGTAAATATGAAACTAAGTAAAATCGCGAAGGAATCAGAAAGAGGGCAGCGGCGTGGAGCCGGGGGGGGGGCAGGGGGAGGCTGATGGTTGGCGGCAGACGCTACTTAGTTGCCAGCTTAAAAAAAGCGTCCAGACTCCATGTGAGGGATGATAAAAAAATCCCGAGAGCTTTCTGTAAAAGTAGACGTGTCTGTACTTCGAGAGCAGTCGAATTGCTTGTAAAACGATAGGAGTAGAAACAGAACGTCAACGAAAGTTCGTACCACTAGCTCAGATCATACAGTCCCAAAGTCCTGTAAATCGAGAAGAGTAACGCACGATAACCATGTCAAGGGTCAAGCAAATGGGTTGGGGTTTTCACGCACCCACAAGTCTCCCATTAGCAGTGGGTTCGATGAATGCATGAGCATGGCGAAGGAGTGGATGGCGAGGACCCCTGGGCACCCTGGACAAGCCTGGAGGCGCCGCGAGGGGTTAGCGACTTGTTCAGGTTGCGCTCCTTTCTGCTGGTCAACAACAGGTTGGAGTTGGTGAGGTCTTTCGGGTTGAGCCTCTGAATGCGGTTTCGGAAAGGGTTTGTTAGGTTTTGAATGTTAGGCTGGAGGGGACCTCCGGAAAAGCATGAAAAAATTGCTCCGCTTGCATCCCCGACAGACAGTCACTAGCTTTCTCAGCCACAAGCCCGGTGCAGACACACCGATGAGCTTAGCTAAGAGACAGCTGCAACTCCTCAGCACAGACCTCTGCTTGCTGGAACGTCGTAAGCTTGAGGAATCACGGGCTGCCTCTGCCCCAGTTCCTGTCTTCTCGGGTAACATGCAAGCTGGTCGCAAAGCCGTCAACCCTGCGTAAAAACACTGGGCGCATTGCCGGCTGCTATCAGGCTGCCGAGGATGGTCTCACGAAGACTCTGGTGGATGCGATGCGTGGCGCAGGCTGACTAGTACATTGACATGAACTAGGCAAGTGAAGGAAGCCCTCCTACTGCTGAGGCTTCACGGAGCCAACGCCGATCCAGGCAAGGTATGGTCGAACATCGATATCTTGCGAGACGTTTGAACACTGTGAAGGACACAGAAGCTACCCGATAAGCCTTATTCGGTAGTTCAATGGCACAGCTCGAAGGCACAAGCCTGGCCCATCCTTTGCTCTGGGCGAGACCTCATCGGCGTTGCAAGGACCACTCTCTGCTCGTGCGGCGCGCGTCCAGTTTCCGAGACCTCGACAAGGGTGTCACATGAAGCAGGGAAGGGCGCACTGACGCAACTAGAGAGCTCTGTCTAGGACTGGTTCTGGCAAGACGCTGGCATTCCTGCTTCCTTGTGGGTCTCTCAGCTTAAAATCTCCTCCAGACCGCTGCAGCTTCTGGCTTCCAAGGCTTCTCGCGGCTTTTGAAGGAAGGTCTGCGCTCCAGGACGGCGGGCAATTGCGGGCAGCCGCCCCTCGCGTGCTCTTCGAGCAGCCCCGCGCTGTGCAGGATGGGCACTGGCACTGGTCCAAATGACGACTCCTCGCTCCCGGCCACAGCCCCAGAATTCCTTGCAGGGACAACCATGGCTTGAATTTTGAACAGGTGAACTACAAGAGGTTTCACACTGCAGCATTCACGCCTATGGTAAATGCAGTCATGCAGGGCAGGGTCTGTGCTGTGCACCGATCTTTCCATACCTGCAATGACTCTGTCCGAGGTGCAGATGCAGAAACAAGCTGCTGGTCCCGGGGCATACTCCCCAGAGGTCGGCTGCGATGCTACTGGTTTTCAGACTGGTTCAAATCCGTTCAAATCCTCTTTTGAGTCAAGCATCGGCTTGGCAATGCTGGTGAGTAGAAATTGAAAACTGGGAGCACTTGCTTACCGTAAACCAGGTCACGAGCCCCCTTCTTAGCGGAGCGTATGCCTCCTTGGAAACCCTTCAGCCCACACGCTCAAACACAGAATCCTGAAAGAAAGACAGGTGTTGATCTTGGCACCCTCACGGGAGTTAGCGGCCAGCCGCCCAGAGACCCAGCATGGCATCACTACGAAACATGCATCAGGAGGAAGGTAGACAGTCGAGGGGTCGCAGTGCACCTGTCAGCCAAGGCAAATGCAAGCACACTGCACATCCGTTTATTCGTGGCGAAGCTAGGATGAATGATGAATGCACGAACGGCCGGGGGTAGTGTGACAGCTCCTTTGTCAGCAAGTCCTTGAGTAAGCGAAGCTCTTGTCAGGCCCAGATCGAGACGGAGGCTCGCAGTTGTACAGTAAGCTTCGGAAGAATAGGACCATATGCTCCCGATTGAGTGAGCTTCATGGCTTCACCGCTTTTGGGGATTTGGGGGGAGTAGGATGGGCCTACAAATGCAGGAAGACCAAACAAAAGGCGTGATGCGTTTAGCTGCGGGTCATCCTGTTGCTCAGCTTTTTGCGGTGGGTGCAAGCAGGCACGACGCTTTACTGCGAGCACCGGCATCGTCACCCTCGCTTGCCCGCATCCCGGGCACTTTACAGGCTGATCGCAGAGATACAAAGCAGGCTCAAGTCTTTGCGGAGCTCGTAGCGTCTACAGTACAGCGCCCGTCGGCGGCGAATACATTGGTATGCGCTCACGTCTGTTTGACTTATTCCACACATGCATGTCGCATGTTATCAGACGGGATTCGACATCTCGAGATCTCTGCACCTCCAACTGAAGTCAGCATGTTTCCTTGCTGGCAATTCGTTGTCAGATGAGGTTATGGCGGCGAAGGGACTCGTCGAGAGACGACGATCGCTCAGATGTTTTTCAGAGTGCTGGTGTAGCTCGTATGTTCGGGTAGCTGCAAGCAAACATGCAACGTAGGCTCGGGCGGTTGCGCGAGCGACCGGAATGTGTGGCCGCGATCTTAGCAGTCTTAGCAGTTTGGTAAGTTTGGTACTTGTATTTCACTGGTTTGAAGAAGCCTTTCGACGCAACGCTCAGAACCGCAGCTCCTTTTTCTTGCACGTGACGCTGCATCCCCGTGTCTACAATCAACACATTAGTCGTCAATGACTTCACGGAGAGGTCGGCACAGTTGGTCGGCTGATTGATTTCATCGAGAACGAGAAGCACTGGCAGTCGCCTTTGGAGGGTTTGGAAAGACTAAGACTGGCAAAGAGTAGAGGCTTTTTCGTTCTGCGATTTCCACGGTTCCATCCAGTACAGTCCAGCCGTGGGACGCTGCGACCGCGTGCCCGAACCCGCCCTCCCCAGTCGGCGCATGTGGCCGAGGTTTGGAGTCAGAAATGTGCGTTTCTTGATCCTAGACGAGGCTGGACAGCTGAAGGGTGCGGCATGGCCAGATGGATGTTCCGACACACTCGACCGCATATCACAGCGCTTGTTCTCTGGAGCAGGGCAGCATGTGATGATGTGGCGAAGAAGGGTCGACAGACAGGACAAGAGAGAGCAGAGCTCCAATGTTGGAATTACAGCTGCTACTGTGATGGTAGTGTTTTTCGCAAGCTGTCGGGCAGCCTGTCTTTCAGCACCACCGTCGCAGATGACCTTGAGTTCACACCTCTTCTCGGCTTCCAGAAATGCTTGGACGATCATGGACTAGGTCCTTGGCCGTGAGGACTCCTTTCAATTGTAATTACCTCCACATCGAGACATTGCAAACTAAGAACAAGCTACCACGGCAAGGATCTCAGTATCTGCGTTGAAGTGTTTCCTGGCTGTGCTCCAGCATCCTCTTAGCTGGACTGGCAGACTTTCAACTTCTAGTTCAGACCTGCAATTCCCAATCCTCCAAGCCTGACTCAAATGTTATGTACCTGAACCTGAATCCGAAATCCTCAATCATCTCAACCCCAATAAGAGCGGAGACATAAACCACCGAAGAGCTAGCCAGACTAGGGCCGGCACAAACACATGGGCGCTCAAGCGCGCGTAAGCAACATTCCCATGCGCGTAAGGCTTGCACACCGGTTGTTTTAAAAGCCGATGCGGGGAAGGGGTGTGCGCAAGGGTACTTTGAGATCCCAGAAAGGCGACGATGATGATGGTCGTAAACCGCTTCAGTGGAAGAAAAAACTCAGCAGCTTTAGGGTTTCAGTCTTGCACAAGGATCTGAAACACGCAAGGTCGCTCGTAAGGCTTAACTTTAAAGCTTGGAGCAGATTCAAGGTGCCACACGTAAGGGACGGTTGGCTCCGCGGAAGCTGCGCGCACCAGAAGTGCGCAAGGGTTTGTTAGCGTCGAAGGATAGAAAAGACGTTTTGACCGCCGCTCTACAATAAACCAGACACTTAAGATTCTAAAATTCCGTCTAGTAGGGATGCTGGGGGGTTTGTAACCGATGGACTGTCAGCCCTGGCTCATCCTGGTAGTTCACTCCTTCTAGCTGGCTCCATAGATGCAGTTGGAAAACAGCCGAAAAAGCCGAACATCCTAAGGAACCCTCCAGTCATCTCCTCGCATGCCCCTGGATCTCCTTCAAGTCGCCCCCGATTGAAGCACAGGCTGACGCCATGATCGGAGAAGGCGCGCGGACAGGTCTATGTGACTTTTGATGGTGCGCAACATAATCTCACAGACAGAGAGAAGTGCATGGACTTTTGTATGCCTCTCTATGCATGGTACACACATGCGAGCACACATACAGACATTCAGTCTTACCTATAGACAAGATATGTGAGTAATTATGCTGGGGAATCTACACATACAAGCATATGCAGTATCCCTGCGTATAGTTTGTCGTCATTGTATGGTTGCATTCATTCTGATCTGAGTGCTCCACTGCGCAACCGATCCCAGCTTATGCGAGTCTCTGCAACAAGGTATCGGATGTAAAGCACGCAGCTGGAGCCAGGACTTGATGCAAACATCCGTAAAATCACTTGCGACGTGGAGACGCCGCTGGATGCTGAGATCCATTGCTCAAGATGCTGGCTAACACTTGAAGTTGGTTTGGACTCCTTGTCCCCCCTATGACGTGATATTCTCAACAGCATTGGATCCCGTTTTGAGCGGGGGTTCCGGGCTCCCTCCAAGGCGGCGGCAGACAATGCTGTTCTCAGCCACCTTTGCAGATGACGTTCCCCTCCCAGGAGGTTAATTTAGTCGGTGTTAAGCACGGCTGGGACGCGTCGGATGGGAACACCGCCATGTTGTGCTCTGTTTTTTGCATGGAGCACTCGCTGTTCTCGCGTCGTATCTACTATTTCTGAGAGAAGCAAGCTCTGCGTAGAATCAGCGAAAAATGAAGTTCAACTGGGTGTGCAGCATCTCGCAGGCTCATCAGTGCAGGGAGTTGCCGGATGCCACCTAAAGTACAGTTCATCCGGTGAAGAGCACTGCCAACAGACCGCACTGGAAGCGATTGTGGGCGTCACTGTTACGAGTGTAGCGAAATCCATTGCAGAGCGACTGCATCTTGTCAGCTAATATCGCTTGCGGCTGCCTTGTGTGCACACCAATGTCACTAATGCATGGTTTGCCTGAAAATCCCTCACCCAGCTCCCGGACAGTCTCTTCATCAGCGAGGTTGTTACATTTGTTGCAGGTGAACGAATGAACACAATGAAAACCAGTTCATTTCTGTATCATTTACAAGCACAAGACCAAAACATCCTGCCAATATGGCCTCTGCCAACTGGGTCAAGGTCAGCGACCTGGCAACTTGGATCAGTCAGGGCCCCAGGAAGCAATCCCACGGTCCTACGAGTCATGCATCTTCTGTTCTGCCTTCAGAGTCTGTGGATGGCTCCGCTCTGCCGCGCTCTTGACCGAGGCCGACATGCCGTGGAGGTTCGAGTCGGAATGAAGGACTGAATCTGCATGGATCTGATCCGTTGTTCCTCGTATTCGCAGCTCGGCATTTCTAATGCCCTGAGATCTCAGGATCCGCTGCGGGCAAACAGGGACGTCAAGCAAGAGGTCATCATTGCCAAGATCTCGGCAGCAGTTCTTGTGTTTGGTGTTTGTGCATTGTCGCTCAGTAGTTCTTGCGTTCGGTGTCTGGGCATCGTCGCTTGGAATTTGGGACTACGGGTTTTCCTGCATGGTCGCGCAGTGTCCTCGCAAGTTGCTTGCAAGAAATAATTTCAGTGACAGTTCTCTCAATTAGGGTCCCTTTTAGGGTCCTTTTAATCAGGATACCTTTAGAGAGCTACCCAAATGTTAAAGCTGCTGCTTGAGATACTTGAACCTAGTCACATTTTACAGAATACACAGGTTCCGGAACATGTGTTCGATGAGGTGAAGGACGAGTTCGACAAGGAAGGCGCTCTGAAAAGCACCTTGCGCAAAGTGCAGCTTGGCATTGGCATAGCATGCATCCGCGACTGCTGTGACTTGGGCGGCTGCTGACAGGTCGTTCGTTCTATGGCTGGATTGATTCGCAAAGCTGTCACAGATTTTGGCACTCAATCCTGCCAGTACCGCCGCAACCCGACCAGTGGGAGCTACAGTATGTGGCAGTTGCTGTCTACTGTGACTGTGATATATGTCTGGACGGACAGCTGACGGGACTGCATGGGGCCTGCTCAATGATCTAAGGTACAGTGCTCACAACAAGTCTCCTGGAAAGGTGAGCTCAGACAGTCATGCAAGCATGGGAACTACCTAGCCACTTACAAGATCAGGAAGGATTGCAGTGGTAGGTCGAAACTGAGTCGAAACGATTTTGCAGATCGAGTATCACGCAGTCTCTGCAGATCGGGTACTGCATCACCCAATCTCTTATCATGGTGCGTGTGTGGCTCGGGAACCACACGACAGAACCCTTTCCCAAGTTGCGAGGTTCTCATTTTCGCGTTTGACCATGACGAGTGCGATTCCTTGGCAAAGAAAGTCAAGGCAAGATACACCTACTGGTATGGGTTCTCCATGCAAGCGATGGGCCGCTGAAGCACGTGGAATGCAAATACTTGCTGCTGCCTTGATGCAACAGGCGGCGCTCAACGGCGTTCCCGTGCAACTCTTAGCTACAAGGGGGAGTTCCGTGTGAGTCGCATTACATACAAGTTCGGAGCCGCCGTCCCGAAAGAGCCCAGTCTGAAGCTGTCGAGTTGAGTCTCTTCCCAAAGCTCAAACAGGTGGAGACCCTGCATGGCTACAAGAAGCAAGCCGAGCGTGAAACTGCCAGGAGCACAGAGGTTGCGAGACACAGACCTGGTCAGAAGGTTCCAGGCGTCAGGGTGGGGTCCTCTCAGGAGTTGGGTTGGGTCATCTGGGCTCTTGAATGGGGGGTCAGGCGATCAGTCTTTCATTTTTCCACATCCCCTAATTAGTTGCGAGCAACTCCAGCTTCCCGTGCTAACGTGAGCAGCACCTTCAACTCAAGCAAGTCGTATCGTATGGCTCACAATCACCATGCGACTTGTGCACCGGAAGAAACTACCACATCGGTTTGGATGCTCAGGCGATGCAGCGTTTCCGCAATGGTGACTCCTGGATCATGGCCCCTGCCCATGTTTACGTTTCAATTTCTGGTGTTGGAGGGGACCATCGGCATCTCTTCGGCCCCCGGCCCAATGCAGACCTACAGGGAAGGTTATGTGGTTTGGTTATGCAGATGAATGATGAGATGTCAGTAGAAACAGATGCCAAATCATTTGATTCTTCGAGTGCATCACAAGTCACAAGGTGGCGACCAGCATTGCCGGGCGAGGTCTGGACATCAAGGATGGCATCTTTTTGCTAGCCTATGTGCCAGTAGACCTAGAGCTACTTTGAGTTGAGGCTCGACAAACAAGCGGGTCTTGGCATGACCATGCAGGACATCACCTTGGTCATCAACTTCGACCCGCCTGAGGAAGGGAGTCTTGGGAGATGCGTTGCCGAGCCTCATAAGGGTTAAATTAATCGGTTTACTCTCAGCCTGCTCGCTGTGATCTCACTTGTTTGCCATATCGCTGGGCTTTGGTTTGCAAAGCTCCAACAAAGCAGGTTGCTCGAACTCGATTCTGGCACGTGCTTTGAGTTAGCGCAAGTGCTTTGGGTGGTAGGGTTGAGGTGCGGTCTCTTAGTGCCTTGGCATTGTGGCATGACAATTTGGGCTTCGGAACAGCAGCAGGGACAGGACGCATGTGGCTTCTGTAGGCTTCACAAAGTCACAGAAGAAGCGTCTGCCTGCCATTAGTTGCCACTCCGTAGTACATGTAGATCAAGCCATGAAGGTTTGACATGTTGACTTAGTACCGCTAAGCTTACAGATATCATGCACACCGGCTCTGCTGGAGCCATCTTGTGGCGCAAGGTCTGAGGATACCTGAATCTCTTGTCGTTTTGGTCTTGACTTCTGCAGGTCTCTCATCACTGGTATCTGGAAATTCCTTGTCTGATGACAGTCACTCGGTGATCTAGCCCCACGCCGTTGTTCTTGATGTCCACTCGCCGCATGCATTCTCTCTGGCTCCGTGGCAGACAGCATAACGCAACCCAGCAAAGTGCCAACGCCGATTTCCATACCGCGGCTTCCATCACCGTCCTTCTTGTAATTAAGAGCCATGGCGCAGATGTATCCCGACGACCACAAGATTTCCGATCTGGTGGAGAAGGCAGGAGCTTGCAATACAGCTGTGAGGCTATGCGTGATGAGGCAAGCCCGCAGGCGGCCGATATCTGTATAGGCATAGGAGGTAGCCACATGAACCCCCGCTACCGAAGCCGAGTTCCAAGATGGAGGTTCCACCAGGCTGGTTTTCCTTCGAGTACTTCCCGCCGAAGACGCCCGAGGGTGTCGAGAATCTGCGCAAGCGCATCGCCACTTGGCAAAGCATGCTTGCTTCTCGTTTGCTTATTGTGCCTGGGACTGTGCGAGCAACCGCGGAGCGGTGCATGTTGAATCAGTCCATCTCGCAAAATCCCCGTCGAGGTGAAGATGAAGTCGTTGGGCCCCCTTTTCACCGACTTCACCTGGGGCGCGGGCGGCTCCACGTCAGAGCTGACTCTGAAGTTGACTTCCGCAGCCACTCGGTCGGAAAAGAGAGGCAAGAGTCGTCAGCCAGTGCTCTGCCATTGTCGGACTCTGCAACATTGGCCACCGTCAAGCAAAAAATCCACATGCAGACCCGGAAAAGGTGTTGCTGCGAGCTGAAGCATCAAAGGGAATGTGCCACGTGTTCCACGGCGCTCCATGTGCGAGGCTAAGAACGAGTTCGGCACGGTAGCCAACATGCACCTGACCTGCACCAACCAAAGCTCGGAAATGACTGGAAATGCCACCCAGCTTCAATTGGCTTCGACAAACTTGCCTGTTTTTCTGAGAATAAAAGCGGAGCTCTCTTCAGATTACACCGTTTTTTTTAAATGCTGTTTCCTCATATTGCAGAAGTTATACATGAGTGCCGTACAGAGACGAAGTTGCACAAGACTGAACGTTCATTCATAAATGGCCGGTTTCTTTACACAGAGAGAGACACAGACACCCTCTTGCAAAGACTAGCCCTGGACCCACAAGCTCGAAGGCACTTCTGGAGTGCAAGCAGCACGGTGTCCGCAACATCGTTGCCCTCCGCGGCGACCCTCCTCGTGGTCAGGAGAAGTGGACGGCTACAGAAGGTGGGTGGAATGGGGGACTGTTCGACTGCTTTCTTCTGTATGAGGTGTTTGCATAGCTTCGGCTTGCAAATTCTGGTTACACGCTGGCGACTCGAGGGAATGGCCGAAGTTTGGCCGCCAAGTTGTTCTCTCCCTCTTTGCTACAAGTAGCAAGCTCTTTGCAGGTGGTTTCTCAAGCGCTTTGGACCTCGTAAAGTGCCCGAGATGCATGCGCTGTTTCCATTTCCGCGAAGTGAAAGAGCCAAGAAGTTGCTGGCACTGGTTGGGTTCGTTGAGGGGCCGGCCTCGGAGTTGAAGTCTGGTGCGTAGAGCAGATGATGATAGATGTGCTCCATAGAGAGCCCAGGAACATATTAGGGGTGCCTCTGCAGCTGAGGTTCATCCGCCAAAACCACGGCGATTATTTCTCGGTGTCTGTGGCTGGCTATCCGGAGGGCCATCCTGACAACATCGAGGCCGGTATGAGCGTGAACACAAAGTTTGGGCCATGCGGTAGTCTGCGGCAGCGGCTTATGCTACATCCTATCATACTGTCAAGGCCTGAGATGGTCGCTTAATTTTGAGCCAGCAGCTCTACCGCCTCCCCTCTCTGGGTCTCTGGCCTTCCTGGCAGTCCTACAGTGAGCACTCAGGTGCAAAGCACATCACTTCGTCACTTCATAGTTTCTTTCATGTGTGTCCGGCTACCATGCAACCCACAGTTTTTTCGCACGTTCCAGTCGAGGTGGTCGAAGGTGGTGTGGCGGCTTTGACTGCCTCGGAGAAGCGCCGCGCCCGTGTCGTAACAGATGCTCAGGGAAAGGAGGTGGTCACGGTGTGCCGAGATGCAAACTTCCACAAGGAGCAGTGCGAAATTCTTCAAATCCCTGCGTTGGAGGGGCATGGCTGTCTGACCCATGTCTAGAAGGTATCGGCCTTACCGACCCCACGGACAATTCTGTACTGCACTGGCAGGAGATGGTCTATCTCAAGGAGAAGGTGGATGCAGGCTCCCACTTCGTTATCACGCAGATGTTCCTCGATGCCCAAGTTTTCTTGGACTTTGTCGATGAGTGCCGCAAGTACGACATCAAGGTCCGATTGTGAGAACAGGATTTTGCCCCTGATTGCCCGGCCATGCCAGGCCCACCCACCCCACCTTCTCTCACGTCCAGGTGCCCATCGTCCCTGGTATCATGTGCCTCAACGGTTTCGGGGGCCTCAAGCGCATGACCGAGCTCTGCAAGACCCGCCTTCCCGAAGGCTTCCCTGTTGCTGATGTTGCTGTATACCAATCTGAAGATAAGAAAGGTTCTGCACCTGGCTTAAAACAGGTGCTTTGTGGTGATGGCAACACGAGGGCACAAAATAGTTTCCAAAGATGCGCTTCCTTGAACTTTGTTCTTGTTCGCCCCTGTTATCATTCTGGCATTGGCATTAGCAGTAGCAGTAGTAGCAGGCGACGGTCGTCGTCGTCGTCGTCGGCGTCGGCATCGTCGTCGTCGTCGCCGTAGTAGTAGTAGTAGTAGTAGTAGTAGTAGTAGTAGTAGTAGTAGCAGCAGCAGCAGTGGCTTTAGCAGCAGCAGGGGTAGTACAAGGAATAGTAGTAGTAGTAGTAGTAGTAGTAGGAGTAGGAGTAGGAGTAGGAGTAGGAGTAGGAGTAGGAGTAGGAGTAGGAGTAGGAGCAGGAGCAGGAGTAGGAGCAGGAGTAGGAGTAGGAGTAGGAGCAGTAGTAGTAGTAGCAGTAGCAGTAGCAGTAGCAGTAGCAGTAGTAGTAGTAGTAGTAGTAGCAGTACTGCTACTACTACTACTACTACTGCTG